TTTTAGTAGAGATAGGGTTTCTCCATGTTGGTCAAGCTGGTCTCGACCTCCTGACCTCAGGTGATCTGCCCACCTCGGCCTCCCAAAGTGTTGGGATTACAGGCGTGAGTCACCATGCCCAGCTGGAATTGACTTTTCTATAGTGCAAGGATCACGTAGCAGTTTTTGACTAATGTTTTAGAGAACATCCTATCCCAAATACTTGCATTGTACAACAGCAGAGAAATTCTGTACATGATTCATCTCCTAAGTGTTTTCCTCTACAGGAGTGGTCCCCAGGCTTTTTGGCACAAGGGACTAGTTTTGTGGAAGGCAATTTTTCCACGGACTGGGGCACGGTGCCCGGGGAAGGTTTCAGTATGATTCAAGCACATTACATTTATTTTGTACTTTATTTCTACTATGATTACATTGTAATATGTAATGGAACAACTACAACCCACCATAATGTAGAATCAGTGGGAGCCCTGAGCTTGTTTTCCTGCCACTAGACGGTCCCATCTGGCAGCGATGGGAGACAGTGATGGATCATCAGGCATTAGATTCTCATAAGGAGCAGACAACCTAGATCCCTCACATGCGCAGTTCACAACAGGGCTCTTGCTCCTATGAGAATCTAATGCCGCTGCTGATCTGACAGGAGGCAGAGCTCGGGGGGAATGCTTGCTCACCCCATCCTGTGTGGCCCAGTTCCTCACAGGGCACAGACTGGTAAGGGTCTCCGGCCTGGGAGTTGGGGACCCCTGCTCTGTAGTATTTCTCTCTGAGTCACCGGCTTCCAGAGTCTCATTATTTTACCCTTTCACTGGAGTCCCAGTTTTAAGGGGGTTGGGCACTGCCTTGCTGTAGTCTCTTGAATTCTGTCCGGACCTTCTGTGACTGCCTTCCATTGACACCCTCAGAGGATGCAGGACTAAGGTGGCAGCATCACAAAATGGACTTGTGGATCTCTCAATCGTTGCTGAAGAATCACTGAGAAGTAAACTTTCATTTGGTTGAGGCATTAACATTTCAGGGTTTACTTATTACTACAGCATAGCTTAACCTACCCTAAGATAGAAATCAACAGGCAATTCACAAATTTGCAAATGACCAGTGTAGAGCTCAAAACTTGTTCAGTCTCACTAGATAGGCAAATTTAAACAATATGAAGTCATTTTTGCCTACCCTAATTGGCAAGGATTTTAAAAGGGTAAGGCAGCCAGGCGCAGTGGCTCATGCCTGTAATCCCAGCACTTTGGGAGGCCGAGGCAGGTGGATCATAAGGTCAGGAGATCGAGACCATCCTGGCTAACAAGGTGAAACCCCATCTCTACTAAAAAATACAAAAAAACTAGCCGGGCGTGGTGGCGGGCGCCTGTAGTCCCAGCTACTTGGGAGGCTGAGGCAGGAGAATGGTGTGAACCCGGGAGGTGGAGGTTGCAGTGAGCTGAGTTCACGCCACTGCACTCCAGCCTGGGCGACAGAGCAAGACTCCGTCTCAAAAAATAAATAAATAAATAAATAAATAAATAAACGTAAGGCAGCCAGGTGCAGTGGCTCACGCCTGTAATCCTAGCACTTTGGGAGGCCGAGGCCGGTGGATCACTTGAGGTTGGGAGTTCGAGACCAGCCTGACCAACATGGAGCAACCCTGTCTCTACTAAAAATACAAAATTAGCCAGGCATGGTGGCATATGCTTGTAATCCCAGCTACTTAGGAGGCTGAGGCAGAAGAATCGTTTGGATCCGGGAGGCGGAGGTTGCAGTGAGCTGATATCGCACCATTGCACTCCAGCCTGGGCAACAAGAGCAAAACTTGGTCTCGAAAAAATAAAAAAAAAATAAAAAGGGTAAGGCCTCAGGTTTTATTATCAACGCTCATTGATAACAGCATTTTGAGACTTGTTTGGCAATATTAAAATGTTTGATAGCCTTTGACTAGCAACTCTATGTCAAATAATTTATCCTAAGGAAATACCCATGGGACTACCCAACAATGAAAATCAGCATATTCATCAAATTATTTACAACTGTAAGCAAAAAAGAAAGGAAAAGAAAACATAAACTTACATATAGTAATAGGGCGTTGGTTCAATGAGTACAGGAAAATCTACAGTCTAGAATGCTATGAAGTCATCAAAAAATCAGGTCTTAGGCAGGGCGCAGTGACTCACGCCTGTAATCCCAGCACTTTGGGAGGCCGAGGCGGGCAGATCACGTGAGGTCAGGAGTTCGAGGCCAGCCTGGCCAACACGGTGAAACCCCATCTCTACCAAAAATACAAAAATCAGCCCGCCACCTCGCCCGGATAGTTTTTTGTATTTTTAGTAGAGACGGGGCTTCACCGTGTTAACCAGGATGGTCTTGATCTCCTGACCTCGTGATCTGCCCGCTTCGGCCTCCCAAAGTGCTGGGATTACAGGCGTGAGCCACCGCGCCTGGCCAGGGTCCCCAACCTTTAATAAACAAGGAAAGGGTGATGAACTGAATTCACATCGTCAGTTTTTTTTTCTCCTGGCAGCAGTACCCACATCTCACCAAGCGAGGGCAGTAAGGAGACGCCGCCTCGCCGGTACCCACCCGGAAATGAGGGTTCCCACCGGCAGAAAGAGGCGGACCCTGCACCTGCACCCGCCCCAGGCCCCGCGCTTCCGTTCAAACCGTGACAAACCGCTGGGTCCTTGAGAGCTGCGGGTCACTCCTACATGGTCACATTCCCGCGCGGGATGCCGAAGTGGGGCAGATGAGGTCCGGAGCTGCTGAGGCCTCCCGGGTCCTTCTGTTGGCCTGAGACCCTGGGGTGGGCGGAATCCCGGAGAAAGCGGGAGGGACCAGGGGAAGCCCTGGCGCTGCCGTTTTCCTCCCCGCCTGCGCAAACGGGAAGGGGCTGATGATGCTGGCTGCGGGCCTCCCTCCTGGACTGCGACATTGTCACCAAATTCTATAAACATCTCATGCAAGCAGTGATAACGTGTGCTGCGACGTTCTGGAAGTAACTCTTAAGCTAAAAAAGAAAAAAAAAAATCAGTGAGAAAATGAGACAGTAAAACAGTGCAATGCTATGTCAATATCCATAGTTACGGAATAGAAAAGAAATCTTACAAAGAGGTGCTCCAGTTCTCTAAGAAATTTACACCCTACTGGGCTGTCTGCATCAGACTTTTCTGGAGGTCATTTATTTTATTCATTTTTTTTTTTAATGACCTACCGAACTGTTTATAATATATGGGCTGGAGTCCCACTAAATGAAATACCCCTTTTGAATGGCATATATGACTTTTAGGGATGAATCTTAGCATTTTTATTTTTTTATTTTTATTTTCAAAACTTCATTGTTGCTGTTTTGGAGTTTTGTTTGTTTTTTGTTTTTGTGTTTTTTGGACAGGGCCTCACTCTGTTGGCCAGGCTGGAGTGCAGAGGTACGATCTGGGCTCACTGCAACCTCAAACTCCTGGGCTCAGGTGATCCTCCTGTCACAGGACGTGCCATAGACAAAACTCCTCAGACACGGGGTTAAAGAAGGAAGAGGCTTTATTAGGCTGGGAGCTTAGGCAGACTTGAGTCTCAAAAAACCAAGCTCCCTGACAAAGAAATTTTTGGCCCTTTGAAGGGCTTACAACTCTAAGGGGTCTACATGAAAGGGTCGTGATAGATCGAGCAAGCGTGGGGAAGGTGACTGGGGGCTACATGCAACAGCTAACAGAAAGTTTTGCAATGCTTCCTCACACAATGTCTGGAATTTTTTTTTTTTTTTTCTTTTTTTTTTTTTGAGACTGAGTCTTGCTCTGTCACCCAGGCTGGAGTGCAATGGCTGGATCTCGGCTCACTGCAAGCTCCGCCTCCCGGGTTCACACCATTCTCCTGCCTCAGCCTCCTGAGTAGCTGGGACTACGGGTGCCTGCCACCAGGCCTGGCTAATTTTTTGTAGATCAGGTGTTCTCACTATGTTACCTAGGTTGGTCTTGATCTCTAGCAATCCTGTGCTCAAGCGATCCTCCCGCCTCGGCCTCCCAAAGCGTTGGGGTTACGGGCGTGAGCCACCGCATCTGGTTAAAAACCTGTTTGTTTGTTTGTTTGTTTTAGAGGCGGAGTCTTGCCCCGTCCTAGGCTGGAATGCAGTGGTGCGATCTTGGCTTACTGCATTCTCCACCTGCCGGTTGCAAGCGATTCTCTTGCTTCAGCTTCCCCAGCAGCTGGGATTACAGGCGTGCGCCACAACACCCAGCTAATTTTTGTATCTTTAGTAGAGACAGGGTTTCACCAAGTTGGCCAGGCTGGTCTTGAACTCCTGACCCTGTGATCCGCCCGCCTTGGCCTCCCAAAGTGCTGGGATTACAGGCGCGAGCCACCGTGCCTGGCAAACTTTTTGTTTAAATCGAAGATTTTATTCTTTCAGCTGTCAATGGAAGGAGCAGTCACGTGGGGTGAAATAGATGGAAGCCATGACGTTAGGAGCGTGAGTGAGGTCCTGGCCCAGCCACTTGTCACGGGGTGACCTCGGCCTGGTCACTGGGTCCCCGAGCCTCCGGGAGGCAGTGAGGGTCCTGGTGATGGAATAGAAACAGGGTGTGGGGCAGGGGCGATGACTCACGCCTGTAGTCCCAGCACTTTGGGAGGTCGAGGCGGGAGGCGGGGAGGAGTTTGAGACCCACCTGGGCAACGTAGGGAGACCCCATCTCTACAAAAAATTATAATTAGCCCAAGAGTTCAAAGCTGCAGTGAGCTATGATCGGGCACTGCATACCAGCCTGGGCGACAGAGCAAAATCTTGTCTCTTTTTAAAAAGAAAGAAAGAAAAGAAAGGACGAAAGGATCATGGTGTGGGGAGCACGTCAGCTCCGCGCGGTTGCCCGGCGCGCGGACCCTAGCGGACTAGGGCGCCCCAGCAGCCCGGCCCGCGAGATGGCGCCGCCCCTAATCCCGCCCGCGTCTAGCCCCGGACCGCGCCTGGAGGCGGAGCCGCCCGCGGAGCTAAATGGGGCCGAGACCTTGAGTGGGGGGGTCCCCGCGCCGCCGCCATGGAGCAGCCCCGCGCCGCCGCCCGCCTGCAGATCGTACTGGGCCACCTCGGCCGCCCCTCGGCCGGGGCCGTCGTATCCTTTGAGCTGCGCGGGTGTCGGGCTGGACCGGGCGCCGGCGCCGCAGCCTGAGTGGTGGCCCAGGTCCGAGTGGAGGCCTCGGCGTCGCGCGCATCCCAGCCCCGGCGCCTCCTCGCTCCGCGCCGGGTCCCCGCCTGGGTCGCGTCTCTTCCCGGAGCCGGGGAGCGGGGAGGAGGCTGCGTCCCCCGAGGACACGCGCGGCCGCCCTGGGCTCGGGGCACTTGCCGCGTCGCGCTGCTCTCCGGGATCCCTGGGGGCCTCTGCTCCTTGTTTTGTGGAGATGTCGTTTCACCGGCTGCGTGTGACTCCTGCGGCTGTCCAGACACCCAGAGATGTCCAGTCACAGGCGCATGGTGCACAGGCGCGCAGGGTTGCCTGGAAGGGGCCCAGGCAGGCGGTGACCCGGCTCCCACGGGAGGGTACAGGACGGTGCCCTCCCGGGCAGGAGCTGGCCAGGCAGGCGTTGCCCAGGACGGCCTCCCTGCTGGACTACGGCCTTGCCACCGAGTTATATAAAGACACTATTTAGGGAAGGACAGAGGGTGAGGACTGGCGCGGGGGCACACGCCTTGCCTATTTGTCCCAGCTCTTCTGGAGGCCAAGGCCAGGACTCCAAGGTTACAGTGAGCCGTGAAGGCCAGTGCGCTCCAAAAGAGAGAAACAGAGAGAAAGAAAAGACAACATGTTGACTGATGAGAGTGACATTCCGAAAGTAACCAATTAAGCTAAAGAAACAATGCAATTCTATGTCAACTGCCTGCAGTTACCGGATAGAAAAGAGATCCTTAAAAGGAATTTCTAGAGTTTTGCTTTTGTGGGGTTTTTTTTTGAAACAGGGACTCTCTCTGTCACCCAGGCTGGAGTGCAGTAGTGGTGCGATCTCGGCTCACTCTTGGACTCAAGAGATCCTCCTACCTCAGCCTCCCAAGTAGCTGGGACTACAGGGTTGCGCCACGATGCCAGGCGAATTTGTGTTATTATTGTTATTATTATTATTGTTTTTTTTTTTTTTTTTTTTTTTTTTTTTTTTTTTTGAGATGGAGTCTCGCTGTGTCTCCCAGGCTGGAGTGCAGTGGCGTGATCTCGGCTCACTGCAAGCTCCGCCTCCCGGGTTCACGCCATTCTCCCGCCTCAGCCTCCCAAGTAGCTGAGACTACAGGCGCCCGCCACCACGCCCGGCTAGTTTTTTGTATTTTTAGTAGAGACGGGGTTTCACCATGTTAGCCAGGATAGTCTCGATCTCCTGACCTCGTGATCCACCCGCCTCGGCCTCCCAAAGTGCTGGGATTACAGGCTTGAGCCACCGCGCCCGGCCTATTATTGTTTTTATTTTGAGACAGAGTCTTGCTCTGTGGCCAGGCTGCAGTGCAGTGCCGCGATGTCGGCCCACTGCAACCTCCGCCTCCGGGATTCAAGCTATTCCCCTGCCTCAGCCTCCCGAGTGTAATTTGTATTCTTATTAGTAGTAGTACTAGTAGTATTTTTTTTTTCCCTGGAATGGAGTCTCTCTCTGTCGTCCAGGCTGGAGTGCAGTGGTGCGATCTCGGCTCACTGCAACCTCCGCCTCCCAAGTTCAAGCGATTCTCCTGTCTTAGCCTCCCGAGTAGCTGGGATTATAGATGAACGCCACCACCCCTGGCTAATTTTTGTATTTTTAGTAGAGATGGGGTTTCAGCATATTGGTCAGGCTGGTCTCAAACTCCTGACCTCAGGTGATCCACCCGCCTCGTCCTCCCAAAGTGCTAGGATTACAAATGTGAGCCAGCGCTTTCGGCCTAATTTGTGTTTTTAGTAGAAATGGGGTTTCACCATGTTGGCCAGGCTGGTCTGCAACTCCTGAGCTCAAGTGATCAGCCTGCCTCAGCCTCCCAAAGTGCTGGAATTACAGGCATGAGCCACCGCACCTGGCCTTCTGTATTTTACTTTATTTGCCTTAATTCACATCCTAGGTAGCTCATCCCACTACAGGGACTATTGCCTCTGCCAGTTTCCATCCTCAACAATTCCAGTAAGTAGTTTAAGTTTTAATTTTGAAATCTATTATGTATACAAAAGTTTCGTGAGTGGTAATGATATAATATACCAGATGTTACCTGATTAGAATTTTATTATACAAATCCTCTGTTTCCAGGATTTATTCTAATTAGTACAATTGTGGAAAATTTTGAAGACCGACTAATTTTCTGTATGTATTTTAAGATTCAGAAAGAAGGAAAAATACCAGAAAATACATAATCTGACATTTATTTATTTTTAATAGAGATGGGCCCTTCCTATGTTGCCCAGGTTGGTCCTGAACTCCTGGGCTAAAGCAATCCTCCTGCCTTGGCCTCCTAAAATGCTGGGATTACAGGCCTGAGCCATCACACCAGCCTTATAATCTGACTTTTAGAAATTCAGTTATTACACATCATATTTAAATTAACTTGTGGCCGGGCACGGTGGCTCATGCCTGTAATCCCAGCACTTTGGGAAGCCAATGCGGGTGGATCACTTGAGGTCAGGAGTTCGAGACCAGCCTGGACAACATCATGAAACCCCACCTCTACAAAAATACAAAAATTAGCTGGGCATGGTGGTGTGCACCTATAATCCCAGCTACTCAGGAGGCTGAAGCGGGGGAATTGCTTGAACCTGGGGGGTCAAGGTTGCAGTGAGCTGCTATCACACCACTACACTCCAGCCTAGGTGATAGAGCCAGACTCCATCTCAAAAAAAAAAAAAACAAAGCTAAGCTTGTAATTTGGTTATATGGACATATTAACTAGCATCTTTGGTTTATCTTAAATCACCTTTAAACGGGAAGATCTTGACCTTCCTAAATATTCTCATACAACCACAATTCCAATCTTAAGGAATAGGTTGGGTGATTTCAGTTTATGGGTATGCTGTACATTTATTTGGATTTTGTTACTTCTTGGAGTGCATCAACTGGACAGTTAAAAATATAAAATTTATTGAATTTGTTTCTCATCTGAAAAATCATATGTATTCATTACAGAAACATCAGAGAAATAGAAGGAATTTTTTTTTTTTTTTTCTTTGAGACAGAGTCTCGCTCTGTCACCCAGGCTGGAGTGCAGTGGTGCGATCTTGGCTCACTGCAAGCTCCACCTCCCTGCTTCCCGCCATTCTCCTGCCTCAGCCTCCTGAGTAGCTGGGACTACAGGCGCCCGCCACCACGCCCGGCTAATTTTTTGTATTTTTAGTAGAGAAGGGGTTTCACTGTGGTCTCGATCTCCTGACTTTGTGATCCGCCCGCCTTGGCCTCCCAAAGTGCTGGGATTACAGGCGTGAGCCACCGCGCCCGGCCTAATAGAAGGAATTTTTTAAAATCATCCCTAATTCCATTACTAAAGGCAATCACTATTAAAAATTGCTTTGGCATAATTCTTTGCAGGCTTTTTTTTTTTTTTTAATATAGTGTCTTGGTTTTACATAATTGTAATAATATTTTATTATAATAAACATTGTCCATATTTTATTTTATTTTATTCTGAGACGGAGTCTGGCTCTGTAGCCCAGGCTGGAGTGCAAGGGTGCGATCTCGGTTCACTGCAAGCTCCGCCTCCTGGGTTCATGCCATTCTCCTTTCTCAGCTTCCACAGTAGCTGGACTACAGGTGCCTGCCACCATGCCCGGCTAATTTTTTGTGTTTTCAGTGGAGACAGGTTTCACCGTGTTAGCCAGGATGGTCTCGATCTCCTGACCTTGTGATCCGCCTGCCTCAGCCTCCCAAAGTGCTAGGATTACAGGCATGAGCCACCGTGCCTGCCGTCCATACTATTATATGGCCTCAATTTTTAATGTCTGAGTCATATTCCATTGAGTGAACATAGTGTCAGTAGTTAATTTTTCTTCCACTAATGCACTTTTTTTTTTTTTTTCTGAGACGGAGTCTTGCTCTGTCACCCAGGCTGGAGTGCACTCGTGCGATCTCAGCTCACTGCAATCTCCACCTTCCGGGTTCTAGCGATTCTCCTGCCTCGACCTTCTGAGTAGCTGGGATTACAGGCACGCTAATCTTTGTATTTTTAGTAGATATGGAGTTTCAGCATGTTAGTCAGGCTGGTCTCGAACTCCCAACCTCAGGTGATCCACCTGGCTCAGCCTCCCAAAGAGCTGGGATTACAGGCATGAGCCACTGTGCCCGGCTCACTCAAGTACTTTTTTTGGTGACCATAGTTAACATTTTGAACATAAAGCTTAAGTTTTCAGATTATTTCCTTGGTCTTAGAAATGCTGGATTGAAGAGCATGAACATTTCTTAGATTCTTGGTTTTTTTTTTTTTTGTTGTTGTTGTTGTTGTTGTTTCTGAGACGGAGTCTTGCTCTGTCACCCAGGCTGGAGTGCAGTGGCATGATCACAGCTCACTGCAACCTCCGCCTCCCAGTTCAAGCAATTTTCGTGCCTCAGCCTCCCGAGTAGCTAGGATTACAGATGCCCACCACCATGACTGGCTAAACTTTGTATTTTTAGTAGAGATGGGTTTTCACTATGTTGGTCAGGCTGGTCTCAAACTCCTGACCTTAGGCGATCCACCTGCCTCCGCCTCCCAAAGTGTTGGGATTATAGGCGTGAGCCCCCATGCCTAGCCTCATGTTCTTGATACATATTTTTAGGAAGTCATTTAAAAATTTTTTTTTTTTTTGAGACAGGGTCTCACTCTGTCACCCAAGCTGGAGTGGAGTGGCACAACCAATATTTTTTTGTAGAGACGGGGTTTCATCATGTTGCCTGGGCTGGTCTCAAACTCCTGACCTCAAGTGATCCACTTGCCTCAGCCTCCCAAAGTGCTAGGAATACTGGTGTGAGCCATTGTGCCTAGCCGGTAATTTAAACATTTAACTTATTTTAGGTTTCTTTTTCTCCTTTAGGTATACTCTGGATAATAATGTTCTAACCCTGGAACAGAGAAAATTTTATGAAGAAAATGGGTTTCTTGTAATCAAAAATCTTGTACCTGATGCCGATATTCAACGTTTTCGGTACAGTAACACTATTTGTTATTTTACAAAAGTATGTATTGTGTGCATGTAATGAGAATGTAAGGTGGATTCACTCCTGCCTTTACAGATGTTTTTTAATGAGTTGGTTTGTTGGGAACTGTTTAGAAGCACCGGCTCTGGTGCCAGACTGACTTTTTTTGTTGTTGTTGAGAAAGGGCCTCACTCTGTTGTGTAGGCTAGAGTGCAGTGGTGCAATCATAGCTTACTGCAGCCTCAAGTTTCTGGGCTCAAGCGATCCTCCTGCCTCAGCCTCCTGAGTAGCTGGGACCACAGGTGTGCACCACCATACCCGGCTAATTTTTTATTTCTTTGTTTTTAGAGACAGGGAGTCTCACTATGTTGCCCAGGCTGGTCTTGAACTCCTGGCCTCACCCTCCTCAGTTGCTGGGATTAAGGTTGGGAGCCACCATGCCTGGGCTTCAGTCTCAGCTCCACCACTTAATATTATGTGTCCCGGGGCAATTTACTTCACATCCCATGCCTCTGTTTCCTCATCTGTAAAATGGGGATAATAATAGTACTTATGTCCTAGTGTTGTTATGACTAAATAAGGTGAAATATATGGAAAGCACTTTGAATAGAGCTGGGCACATGGTAAGTGTTACAGAAGTGTTTGCTATTATTATTACGATGTAACCAAATCATAAAAAGACTTCCCTACCGGTATGCTAAACTAGGGAATGATTTAATTCTGGTAGTGGATTCTAGGCTAACAGTTTCTCCTGCTTTTCATTGGAATGGGAGGCATTCCCATCCAGACCTCAAGCTGGAGGCCGACTTAGTGCAGAGAAACCACCCCTCAAGTCTGCAACCCTTTCCACAGAGGAGGGCAGGGCAGGTGCTTAGAGCCAGTGGTGACGACATCATTTGCAAATTAAATTTTCTAGGAATGAGTTTGAAAAAATCTGCAGAAAGGAGGTGAAACCATTCGGATTAGTAGTAATGAGAGATGTGACCATTTCGAAATCGGAATATACTCCAAGTGAGAAGATGACCACGAAGGTCCAGGATTTCCAGGAAGATAAGGAGCTCTTCAGATACTGCACTCTCCCCGAGGTCAGAGACCACCCTGGCTTTGCTTCTGCTTAATTGCCGGCATGTGTGCCCGCCTGTAAAACCCACTGATTTGGCCCGGCGCAGTGGCTCACTCCTGTAATCCGAGCACTCTGGGAGGCTGAGGCAGGTGGATCGCTTGAGCCCAGGATTAACTGCTCTTAGAGCTGGATATGGAAAGGAGTTGAATTGAGTAAAATCAGTGGGTTTCTTTTCTTTTCTTTCCTGGAGACAGAGTCTCACTCTGTTGCCCACGCTGGAGTGCAGTTGTGTAATCTCGGCTCACTGCAACCTCTGCCTCCCAGGTTCAAGTGATTCTCCTGCCTCAGCCTCCCGAGCAGCTAAGTTTACAGGTGCCTGCCACCACACCTGGCTAATTTTTGTATTTTTAATAGAGACGGGGTTTCACCATGTTGCTCACGCTGGTCTCGAACTTCTGACCTCGTGATCCATCCACCTTGGCCTCCCAAAGTGCTGGGATTACAGGCATGAGCCACTGAGCCTGGCCAATTTCCTACATTTCTAAAGAGTGGGACCAGTATCTGATGGTCTATGCCATGATTTTAGGAGGTATAAATTATTTTAATAGTTAGATATTTATTTTTAAATGTATTGGAAAAAACTCAACAGTTTACCAAACTCATGATTTCAAGAATGTTGTCAATTAGGACAAGACTAAATAAAAAGGCCAGTTGTAGTGACACTTTGGGAGGCTGAAGCAGGAGAATCACTTGAGGTCAGGAGTTCAAGACCTGTCTGGGCAACATAGCGAGACTACTATCTGAATTGGAAAAAAAGAGGAAAAAAAAAAGATTGAGTATAAGAAGTGAGCTAACTGCCAGGCACAGTGGCTCATGCCTGTAATCCCAGCACTTTGGGATGCCAAGGTGGGCAGATCACAAGGTCAGAAGTTTGAGACCAGCCTGACCAACATGGTGAAACCCCATCTCTACTAAAAATACAAAAATTAGCCGGGCATGGTGGCGGACGCCTGTAATCCCAGCTACTCGGTAGGCTGAGGCAGGAGAATCGCTTAAACCCAGGAGGTGGTGAGCCGAGATCACACCATTGCACTTCAGCCTAGGCGACAGAGTGAGACTCCATCTCAAAACAATAAAAATAAAAATAAAAAATAAAAAAAAGAAGTGAGCTAACTAAGGGTAGGGAAATCATTGGCTAAATAATAGTCCAAGTTATGTCAGAAGTCGTGAAGATGGCTCTTGAATGACCAGGGTTTAGAAAATCCCAGCCTCAGTGAATGCCGAAAACTACCAGGCTTTATAAAAAGCAAGTGTGTGCCTGACTCCTAGGCTTTTATAACCTTTCCAGGGTTTCATAATCAAATTGCCAATATTCCTTATACACAAGAGATCAAATAGTGAGGAAGCAGTAGAAGGTGGCTCATTTTTTGGAGTCATTTTTTTGTGGAATCAAAATTTGAGTATCATGGGCTTTTTTTTTTTTTTTTTTTTTTTGAGATGGAGTCTCACTCTTGCCGCTCAGGCTAGAGCTGGAGTGCAGTGGTGTGATCTTGACTCACTGCAACCTCCGCCTCCCGGGTTCAAGTGATTCTCCTGTCTCAGCTTCCCAAGTAGCTGGGATTACAGACACGCACCACCATGCCCGGCAAATTTTTGTATTTTTAGTAGAGATGCAGTTTCACCATGTTGGCCAGGCTGGTCTCGAACTCATGACCTCAAGGGATCCACCCGCCTCAGCTGCCCAAAGTGCTGGGATTACAGGTGTGAACTACTGCACCGGACCTCAGTGTTGAGCCCTTTCTGCTTTTCCCCCCTCCGTTGCTGGGTTCTGTGCACAAGGTAGCAGCAGCCCAGCTCCCAGACCCCATGACTAAACCAGCTCTCCCTGTCATGGGTTCCCATGCTAGCCTTTTCTTCATAATGCAGTGTCCCTCGGCCACTCTGACCCATGTCATTACTGGTTTAACATGTTTCATCTAACACCTGGGACCTGCTTTGCTTGTTCACTCTTGCTTCCCCGTTTCCCGTCACCTCCTAGTTCCCAGATCTCAGTAATGAGTTGTCAAGTGCCAAGCGTCCCTGTTGTCAAATGTCCTCTAAGCCACCGTTCTGCTTTCTTCTGGGCTACTCATGACAGCTGCAAATTGTATGGGACTCTTCGTATGCAGAGGCTCCAGTGAGGAAGAGGAAGCTGCCCTCCCACTGAGCAACCCTCTGCGGCTTGGGTTGACAAGAAATCTGTATTGATATCTCGTCAAAGCTCCCATCTTTCTTGTAGAAAAAAAAAATGATTTCATTCCCAGCTAGCTCAGAAAAAGCCCATTTAATTCCGTGTTATAGATTTAGAATGATTTCCAGTGGCTGGGTTATTGATGCTTTGTTTGCAGAGTTGTGAAATACCACTTGGTTCTTAAACTATTGATGTCTTGGTTCTTGCGTGGATAGCTGCTGTACTTTGTACCAGTTGCTAATACTTCTGATTTCCCACAAGGTTTGTTTTCGTTTGTTTGTTTTCTTAGATTCTGAAATATGTGGAGTGCTTCACTGGACCTAATATCATGGCCATGCACACAATGTTGATAAACAAACCTCCAGATTCTGGTAATTGTAAGGGAGAAGCAAAAAAAAAAAAAAAAAAAAAAAAAAAAAGGGTTTCATTAAAATGTGTAAGGTTGGCTGGGTGCAGTAACTCATGCCTGTAATCCCAGCATTTTAGGAGACTGAGGGAGGAAGATCTCTGAGGCCAGGAGTTTGAGAGTGGCCTGGGCAACATAGTGAGACTCTGTCTCTAAAAATAGAATTAAAAAATATCCAGGCATGGTGGTGTGCACTTGTAGTCCCTGCTATTGGAAGGTTGAGGTGGGAGGATTGCTTGAGCCCAGGAGTTGAAGGCTGCAGTGAACCTATAATGGCATGCATTCCAGCCTGGGTGACACAGTGAGAACCCATCTCTAAAAAATAAATAAAATAACACAAAACAAAATAATAAAATAATAACTGATGTCTAACTATAATCATGTGTATAACTGTCAAACTTTGGATGAGTAAGTCTTAAAATAACTTACACTATAACAACAGTGAAATGTGGTAATGTTTTCAGATATTAACTGAAGGACTGTTGCTGAATTTTCAGATGACTGGCTCCCCAAAAAATACAGTTTAACAGACATAACTCTTCATATATCAAAGGTTCCTGCCATTCCGTGTCTCTAAGCTTGATCAGCTCTTTTTAGCTGTGTTGGTGTGGATTCTTGCATTCCTGATAGGAAGACATTATTATTACTAACACAATTAAGATTGTTACTATGAGTCACAAACTATAGTTGTCTTTTTTTTTTTTTGAGATGGAGTTTTGCTCTTGTTGCCCAGGCTGGAGTGCAATAGCATGATCTCGGCTCACTGCAACCTCCACCTCTCAGGTTCAAACGATTCTTGATTCTCCTGCTTCAGTCTCCCAAGTAGCTGGGATTACAGGCGTGTGCCACCAAGCTTGGCTAATTTTTGTATTTTTAGTAGAGACAGGGTTTCGCCATGTTGGTCAGGCTGGTCTCGAACTCCTGACTTCAGATAATCCACCCGCCTTGGCCTCCCAGAGTGCTGGGATTACAGGTGTGAGCCACTGCGCCTGGTCTTGTGCTTGCTCAAAATGTACAATCTAAAACCTCATTGGCAGAGAGACTGATTGAGAAATCTAACCCAGGTTTCTGTATTTTAATAACCTTCCCCAAGCTGGGCGTGGATGTGCACCTGCGGTCCCAACTACTCAGGTACTCAGGAGGCTGAGCGGGGAGGATCGCTGGAGCCCGGGAGTTCAAGTCCAGAGATTCTAGTGCAGACCACGTGGACTACACTGGGGAATTCCTCTGTGCCTGCAGTAGAAATCAGCCATGAGAGAGTCCCCTATCCTTTCTGCCTCTTCTTCCTTCTGATCACCGGGAGGGTTTATGTGATAGAAGGCGGCTTAGCATTACCAGGTCTCCCTCCCTGCGGAGATCAGGTGTTTGGGAGCCAGGCTCAGGGAGCAAACCAGGGGAAAATGTCACTGTGGTCACGGGCACTCTGAATGGACACGGCACCGAATGACTATAGTCGTGGGGGATGAGGACCTCTTAGAGAATTTTTTTTTTTTTTTTTTTTTTTAGGTGGAGACTTGCTCTGTTTCCCAGGCTGGAGTGCAGTGCCTCGATCTCAGCTCAGAGCAACCTCCACCTCTGGGGTTGAAGCGATTCTCCTGCCTCATCCTCCTGAGTAGCTGGGATTACAGGTGCCCGCCACCACACCCAGCTAACTTTTTTTGTATTTTTAGTAGAGACAGGGTTTCACCATGTTGGTCAGGCTGGTCTCGAACTCCTGACCTCAGGTGATCTACCTGACTCAGCCTCCGAAAGTGCTGGGATTACAGGTGTAAGGAACCATGCCCGGCCTTTTTTTTTTTTTTTTTTTTTTTTTTTGAGACAGAGTCTCGCTCTATCTCCCAGGCTGGAGTGCAGTGGCATGATCTTGACTCACTGCAACCTCTGCCTCCCAGGTTCAAGCGATTCTCCTGCCTCAGCCCTCAGCCTCCCAAGTAGCTGGGACTACAGGCGTGCACCACCATGCCCAGCTAATTTTCGTATTTTTGTAGAGATGAGGTTTCACCATGTTGGCCAGGCTGGTCTCAAACTCCTGGCCTCAAGAGATCTGCCTGCCTCAGCCTCCCAAAGTGCTGGGATTACAGGTGTGAGCCACCACATGCGGCCTAGAACTTTTTTTGATATCAACCACTTCAAAGGGATTTCAAACTTGACTCCATATCACTCTCTTCAATGTAATTAATGCAACTGGTTTTTGAACACTTTACTACATGCTAGGTGCCGTGCCCAATCCAGAGTGGCAAAAGAATAAAGCACAACAGAGATGATGATGTTGTACCACTTGCTGGAAAATAGTGTGCATACACACTGAGCTACCAGCAACCCAGAAGAAGGGAGTGCAGGGCTTGAAGATGTGGAGTCACTGTGTTGATTTGGTGTTTATCTCTCCGGGGCTGATTTTCTCTAGCATTATTTCATTTGTTTGGTTCTTATGAGGACAGGTCATTGTTTTTTCGGGCAAAGGATAAGAATTCTGAGATGAGCATTTTTTGTTTTTTGTTTTTGTTTTTTTTTTTTTTTGGAGACAGGGACTTGCTCTCTGTCACCCAGGCTATAATGCAGCGGTAAAATCCCAGCTTACTGCAGCCTCGACCTCCAGGCTCAGTGATACACCCACCTCAGCCTCCCAAGTAGCTGTGACTACAGGTGCATGCCACCATGCCCAGTTAGTTTTTTTTGTTGTTGTTTTGTTTTGTTTTTTCCTGTAGAAACGGAGTCTCACTATGTTTCCCGGGATGGTTTTGAACTCTCAGGCTCAAGCAATCCATTTGCCTCAGTCTCCCAAAGTGCTGGGGTTACAGGCGTGAGCCACTGCACCCGGCCTCCAGCATCCTTTAATAGCAGATTTTCTTTTCAGGCAAGAAGACGTCCCGTCATCCCCTGCACCAGGACCTGCACTATTTCCCCTTCAGGCCCAGCAATCTCATCGTTTGTGCCTGGACAGCAATGGAGCACATCGACCGGAACAATGGTTGTCTGGTTGTGCTCCCAGGAACACACAAGGGCTCCCTGAAGCCTCACGATTACCCCAAGTGGGAGGTAGGTCTGCCCGGCGGCTGAGTCTTGATCCGAATCTCCTTTGCGGTTTCTGTTTCACATCAGTATCTATAAAGACTTTACAAATGAGATGGCATTTCCTTTCTGAGCAAAACACTGTCCTAAGATTTGCAGTGAGGATCAGAGAAAGTTCAAGGATGTCAGAGAAAACATTCATCACACCTATTTTTTTCAACCCATCCTTTTTTTTTTTTTGAGACAGTGTCTTGTTCAATTCTGCAACCTCCACCTCCCAGGTTGAAGCCATCCTCCTGCCTCAGTCTCCCCAGTAGCTGGGACTACAGGTGTGCACCACCACGCCCAGCTAATTTTTGTATTTTTAGTAGAGACGGGGTTTTGCCATGTTAGCCAGGTTGGTCTCGAACTCCTGACCTCAGGTGATCGTTCACCTCGGCCTCCCAACGTGCTGGGACTAAAGTCACGGGCCACTGTACCTGGCCTCAACACATGTTTGAAAGCCAGCCAAGGTGAGGTGCTTGGGTAGCTACTGTATAGGATCTGAGATTGTAAAGCCTAGCTGCAGAGGTAAGACATAAACCCTTCGACCCCAGATGTGTGTGGTAGGCACCAAGCCAGTCTTACTCACTAACTGATGGCTCTTGGAGTAAAGAAGGAGAGATTATCTCCTTTGAACTGCAGAGACCAGCAAAGGATCTGGGGAGGCTGGTGTTTGACCTGAGTCTTGCAGGACAGGGTACAATGTCCCATAGGGAAGAGTCTATATGGGAAAGCAAAAGGTCAAGGGCAAGCCTGAACCTGACCAAACAATGAGAAGGATCCAGGGAGCTCGCAGTCTAGATGGGTTGGGGGTGGGGGTGTATTTTGGGGAGCGGCAGAGGAGGTGAGCCCAAAAAGGTACATTAGGACCAGATTAGAAAAGACTGTTATACTAACAAGTCTGCAGTTTATTTGGGGGAGAATGGGAACTTTTTAGTTCAAACTTTTAAGGAAGATTGAAGACCTTTTTTCTTTTTAGCTTTTTTTTTTTTTTTTTTTTTTTTTTTTTTTGAGAAGGAGTCTCACCCTGTCGCCAGGCTGGAGTGCAGTGGCGCGATCTTGGCTCACTGCAACCTCTGCCTCCTGGGTTCAAGTGATTTTCCTGCCTCAACCTCCCGAGTAGCTGGGACTACAGGCATGAGCCACCACACCCGGCTAATTTTTGTATTTTTAGTAGAGACGGAGTTTCACCATGTTGGCCGGGATAGTCTTAATCTCTTGACCTCATGATCCGCCCACCTCGGCCTCCCAAAGTGCTGAGATTACAGGTGTGAGCCACCACGTCCAGTTGAACAGCTTTTAATTAAAAAAAAAGAAAAACAGTTTTATTGAGGTATAATTGTCATGTAAATTGTACATATTTTGCATGTATAATTTGATCATTTTCCGCACACGCATACCTGTGAAATCACCACAGTCAAGATACTCCATCCTTCTCCCTGCTCTAGGCAACCACTGAGCTGCTTTCTGTTACTAGAGATTAGTTTGCATTTTCTAAAATGTCATAGACATGTAATTACACAGCATAGATTTTTTTGTTCCAGTCTGGCTTCTTTCACTCAGCCTGGTGATTTTGAGGTTCGTTGATGCTATTGTGTATGACAGTAGTTCTTTTTTTTTTTTTTTGAGATGGAGTCTCACTCTGTCACCAGGCTGGAATGCAGTGTCGTGATCTTGACTCACTGCAATGTCCACCTCCCTGGTTCAAGCAATTCTCCTGCCTCAGCCTCCTGAGTAGCTGGGACCACAGGCACAAGCCACCACGCCCAGCTAATTTTTATATTTTTATTAGAGATGAGGCTTCACCATGTTGGCCAGAATGGTCTCGATCCCCTGACCTTGTGATCCGCCCTCCTCGGCCTCCCAAAGTGCTGGGATCACAAGTGTGAGCCACCGCACCCGGCCAACAGTAGTTCTTTCCCTTCCATTGCTGAGTAGTATTCCACTGCATGGCTGCACCATGAACCATGGTTTGTTCATCCATTCGGCTGTTGATGCTTGGAACTGTTAAATGCATTTGAGCTCATGGGTGATGGGATCAAATCGGCTCTTCAAGGACAATAACGTCAGGGTCTGGTGCAGGATGCACTGCAGGTATAGGAGTCTAGAAGTGAAGAAACCAGAGAGATGACTTTTTTTTTTTTTTTTGAGATGGAGTCTCGCTCTGTCGCCCAGGCAGGAGTGCGGTGGCCAGATCTCAGCTCACTGCAAGTTCCGCCTCCTGGGTTCACGCCATTCTCCTGCCTCAGCCTCCCGAGTAGCTGGGACTACAGGTGCCCGCCACCTCGCCCGGCTAGTTTTTTGTATTTAGTAGAGACGGGGTTTCACCGTGTTAGCCAGGATGGTCTCCATCTCCTGACCTCGTGATCCGCCCGTCTTGGCCTCCCAAAGTGCTGGGATTACAGGCTTGAGCCACCGCGCCCAGCAAGAGATGACTATTAACACGTTAGGTCTAAGGTGAGAAGATCCTGTGGGAGCCAAGGTGGCAGGATCGCTTGAGCCTAGAAGTTCACGACCACCCTGGGCAACATAGTGAGGTCTCGTCTCTAGTAATAATAATAATAATTAGCTGGGCATGGTGGTGCATGTGTGTAGTCCCAGCTAGTTGGGAGGCTGAGGCAGGAGGATCACTTGAGCCCAGGAGTTCAAGGCTGCAGTGAGCTATGCTGGTGCCACTGCACTGCAGCCTGGGTGACAGAGCAAGTTCCTGTATCAAAAGAAAAAGAAAAGATCCTGGGCCAGGCACAGTGGCTCACACCTGTAATCCCAGCACTTTGGGAGGCCAAGGCGGGTGGATCACCTGAGGTCGGGAGTTCGAGACCAGCATGACCAACATGGTGAAACCTTGTCTCTACTAAAAATACAAAATTAGCCTGGTGTGGTGGTGTGCACCTGTAGTCCCAGCTACTTGGGAGGCTGAGGCAGGAGAATAGCTTGAACTCGGGAGGTGGAGGTTGCAGTGAGGCAAGATCATGCCACTGCACTCCAGCCTGGGCAACAAAGCGAAACTCTGTCTCAAAAAAAGAAAAAAAGAGCCAGGCACGGTGGCTCACGCCTGTAATCCCAGCACTTTGGGAGGCCGAGGCAGGCGGATCACGAGGTCAGAAGATCGAGACTATCCTGGCTAACATGGTGAAACCCCGTCTCTAGTAAAAATAAAAAAAAAATTAGCCGGGCGTGGTGGCGGGTGCCTGTAGTCTCAGATACTCAGGAGGCTGAGGCAGGAGAATGGCATGAACCCAGGAGGCAGAGCTTGCAGTGAGTCGAGATTGCGCCACTGGACTCCAGCCTGGGTGACAGAGCAAGACTCCATCTTAAAAAAAAAAAAAAGAAAGAAAGAAAAAAGAAAAAAAGAAAAGATCCTGGAAACCCATGATGCTGTGAACAGAAAAAGCCCCCATTGTTAAAGCACGGAGAATGAATTGTAGTTCGATAGGAAATGAGGAACATGGTTTTAAGAACTCCTGTCCCGTCTGGACACGGTGACTCACGCCTGTAATCCCAGCACTTTGGGAGTCTGCGTTGGGCAGATCACTTGAGGTCAGGAGTTTGAGACCAGCCTGGCCAACATGGTGAAACCCTGTTTCTACTAAAAATAAAAAAATTAGCCAGGCTTGGTGGTGAGCGCCTGTAGTCCCAGCTACTTGGGAGGCTGAGGTAGGAGAATTGTCTGAACCTGGGAGATGGAGGTTGCAGTGAGGTGAGATCGCACCACTGCCCTCCAGCTTGGGCGACAGAGCAAGACTCCATCTCAATAATAATAAAAGAACGTCTCAGATTTCTTGCATCAATAATTAGTGTCAAATGAAAATATCTGAGTGTCTGGATCCTGATATAAAACCATTTCGTTTGAAACTCATCAGTGAAGCTAAGGTTTAGATAAAGTTTGGTGCACACAACTGCAGTGGGCTTTGGCTGATGGAAGGCAAAGGGAAAGGTTTGCAGGGCTTCAAGAGCGTGTGGAGTCTCAGATACCCTGCACAGATGCAGAGTGGGAGGTATGATTAGTTTAGTGTGGGTCACACATTCACCCTGGCCAGGAGAGAAGGGCTCTGGGTCCGAGTCTCAGCACTGTCTAAGAGGGATGTAGTCATTACCGAAAGGAACTGAGGATGCGCTTAGGAACAGGAATGGACTGCTTTCCTTATTCTGACTCATAAGGTGCTTCTCAGGTCAATTTCTTTAATAAAACATAACCCCATTACCTAAAGCAGTAACTAATTTGGGAAACAGTTACAAACAAACACAGTGTTTTAATTTACTATTCTTTCATTATTCTGGATGTGACATAAGTGTCTTTGAGCTCAGAAAAATTGAGCATTTTCTCCCCTCTATTTTGGGGAAATAGCTTCTCAGAGACACTCCTGAGTAAGAGATGAAGGATTTATTTAAAGTTCTGGTGAGGAGGAGAACATGCTGAGAACATTTACAGATTTACGCTGGAAATGCCTAAGAGATAGGTGGTTGCCTGCATTGACCACAAAAGGTAAAACTAAGCTAGCTCTTCATGTATAATGCAGTCATGAAGGGCAGGTGGAAATTCCACATTGTTCATTTGCTCCAAAAATATCAGTGATTTTAATATCAACATGTGACTTCTTTTTTTATTACTATTATTTTTTGAGACACAGTCTTGCTCTGTTGTCCAGGCTGGAGGGCAGTGGTGTGATCTTGGCTCACTGCAACCTCCCCCTCCTGGCTCAATCGATCCTCCCACCTCAGCCTCCTGCGTAGCTGGGACCACAGGCTTGCACCACCAGACCGGGTTAATTTTTGCAGGTTTTGCAGAAATGGGGTTTTGCCATGTTGTGCAGGCTGATCTTGAACTCCTGAGCATAAGCAATTCTCCCAACTTGGCCTCCCAAAGAGATGGGATTACAGGCGTGAGCCACCGTGCCCGGCCAACATGTAACTCTTAAAAACCAGATATCTAAGAGGCTTTTGTATACTGAAAAAAGTAAGCATTTAATTTAGACATTTCTTTTTCTTGGGAGAAAGAAATGCTTTCTTTCCCTGATGTTTGCTTTCCCTGATGAACCACTGACAATGTTTTTAATTATGGTACCCCCTCAAACGTAGACTTGGCTTGCTTCTTGTTCTAGGGGGGAGTTAACAAAATGTTCCACGGGATCCAGGACTACGAGGAAAACAACGCTCGGGTGCACCTGGTAATGGAGAAGGGAGACACCGTTTTCTTCCATCCTTTGCTCATCCATGGGTCTGGTCAGAACAAAACCCAGGGATTCCGGAAGGTGAGCATTCACATTGCCGCATCTGCTGCAGATGCGTGGGTTAGAAACAAAAATTGTATTTAATTCATTTAATTCAAATTAATTGAATAAAATTTTAATTTAATTGCATTAATATTTTAAAGATTTGTGGCTTTTAACCAACCTGGACTTTAGTCCAATTTATTTACCAGGAAATATATTTGTTTACCTTGGTCTTTTCGGGCTCTTATCAGTAAGAAGCCAGGTGACCTCAGGATCCTAACCTTGTCAATATTGATTATGAAAGCAAGGTGCAGTGGCTCATGCCTGTAATCCCAGCACTTTGGGAGGCTGAGGCGGGAGGATCACTTGGGGGCAAGAATTCTAGACCAGACTGGGCAACATGGCGAGACCCTGCTTCTATTTAAAAAAAAAAAAAAAAAAAAATCACTGTTATCTCCTGAAGCTACGGGTTAGGGGCCAAATGTCGTCTTCCATTCATTCATATTTCCACCAGCCTTATCAGGGTCAGGATTAGGGTGGGACAAGTTGGGGCACTCTTCCCAGGGGTAAAATTTAAGGGCATGCCAAAAAAAAACCTCTGCAATCAAGTTTAGTAATATTTTAATGCGAAATTTAAAAAAATCAAAATTGGGACAGGCGCAGTGGCTCACGCCTGTAATCCCAGCACTTTGGGAGGCTGAAGTGGGTGGATCACAAGGTCAGGAGATCAAGACCATCCTGGCTAACACAGTGAAACCCTGTCTCTTCTAAAAAATACAAAAAAAAACCAATTAGCCGGGCGTGGTGGCGGGCGCCTGTGGTCCCAGCTACTCGGGAGGCTGCGGCAGGAGAATGGCGTGAACCTGGGAGGCGGAGCTTGCAGTGAGCTGAGATCCTGCCATTGCACTCCAGCCTGGGCCACAGAGCGAGAATCCGTCTCAAAAAAAAAAAAAAAAAAAAAATCAAAGTTAATGCAAAATATCCAATGTATTGGCTGCACACAATGCCAAAAGTCAGTATTGGACCCCACACTAGTGCAACCTTTAGAGCTGTGCAAGTAGGGAGGTGCAGGCACATTGACGCAAATCATGTTGTGAGTTTTAATATATTGACTTTGCAATTTTCCCATTTTTTTTTTTTTTTTTGAGATGGAGTCTCGCTCTGTTGCCCAGGCTGGAGTGCAGTGATGCAATCTCAGCTCACTGCAACCTCGGCCTCCCAGGTTGAAGCGATTCTCCTGTCTCAGCCTCCTGAGTAGCTGAGACTATAGGCACACACCACCACACCCAGCTAATTTTTGTATTTTGTAGTAGAGATGGGGTTTCACCATGTTGGCCAGTCTGGTCTTGAACTCCTAGCCTCAAGTAATCTTCTCACCTTGGCCTCCCAAAGTGCTAGGATGACAGATGTGAGCCACCTTGCCTGGCCCAATGTTTTTTAATGCCTTTATTTTAAAATTTTTTATTATTTATTTATATATTTATTTGAGACAGCATCTTACTCTTTTGCCCAGGCTGGAGTGCAGTGGCGCAGTCATAGCTCACTGCAGCTTGGAACTCTTGAGGTGTGTGTGATGGCTCAAGCCATCCTCCCACCTCAACCTCTTGAGAAGTTGGGACTAACAGACAGGCACTACCACACCTGACTAATTTTATTTTTTCATTTTTTGCACAGACATGATCTTGCTATGTTGCCCAGGCTGGTCTTGAACTCCTGGCCTCAAGTGATCCTCCTGCCTTGGCCTCCCAAAATGCTGGAATTACAGGCATAAGCCACCATGCCCAGGCTTAATGACTTTAATGTTCTGGAAAAATATTACTATAATTACGTAAAGATACAGATATAGGGTTGCATCTTTTCCCTTTGCCTTGGGCTCTGTTACAGTGCCGTATGGCACCAGGGCTTACGAGGCAATGGGATTTGTGACGCCACTCTCTAGACATTTGTTGTTTGGGGCAAAGTAGAAAGTCTTTCTGACAAGTGTGATCACTTGTGACATAAAAGGTAAGTTTTAACGATTGCCTTGCATCTTAGATGTTTATAACTTTTTCTAAAATAGGGAGAACCAAGTAATTTCATCCTTACCCTCAGAAGGAAGCAAGAGGGGTAATATATGTCAATGGTATTGGCTTTTAAATGTCCTTTGATTTGAGAGAAGGTGTCTGCATTATTTTCTTTCTCAAGGTATTTTTAGTTCTTTTCATAATCTATTGCCACTGAAATAACAATCCATCCCAAACTGGACCAGGTAACTAACTTTTGAGATAAATTGCCATGGAGTGCAGTCCTTTTTAAGACTTTGGGATATCCATTCATTAGGAAAATCAAATGCTAAAAAAAAAAAACTAAAGACCTGTTGCTGACATAATTTCATTCCCTCTCCCGTATATACCTTTCAAAAATAAATGTCACATCTGGTTAATGATCGTTTGAAATTTCTCAATTAACTTTTAGCTGGAAATAAAAAGAGGCTTAGTTACAAAGAGACTGACACAGGACGCAATGGACCTGACTTTCCATTTGGAAATCAAATACTGAGTGAAATAATTGACTTTCTAAAAGAAAGACTCCCTGCTTGGTCGCTGTTATTAATGGGATGTTTTTCTCCAATATCAATTTGTTCACTTTGCACAGGCAATTTCCTGCCATTTCGCCAGTGCCGATTGTCACTACATCGATGTGAAGGGCACCAGTCAAGAAAACATTGAGAAGGAAGTTGTAGGAATAGCAAATAAATTCTGGGGAGATGAAAACAGCATGGACCTGAAGGTATGTCCATATACAACAGCAAGGTAAAAATCTCAGGTTTTCCTTTTCTTCAGAGGCTTCATCATTCTCATACCTAATTTATTTGACAGTATATAGTGCTTGGGTTGAGATTCATTTTAGGGACATGGCTGAGCCCCCACCAAAAATGACAATGGAGTTTCCATTTACACTTGGGCCCCCGTGCAGGAGACTTGAGAACTTCCTGCTGCTTCTTTATGTCTCTGGGCTGTCCAAAGATGTACAGGCCGTCCTGTTTCACACAGGGCAGTGAAGGAAAATGAAACTACAGATTTAGATGAGAGAAAATGAAAGACAAAACCTTGCCTTCTGGCTGGGCACGGTGGCTCATGCCTGTAATCCCAACACTTCGGGAAGCCAAAGCAGGAGAATCATTTGAGCCCAGGAGTTGGAGACCAGCCTGAGAAACATAGTGAGACTCCATCTCTACTGAAAAAGAAATAAAAATAAAAACTAGTCAAGTGGGGTAGAGCATAGCTGTAGTCCCAGCCGCTCAGAAGGCTGAGTTGAAAGGCTCACTTGAGCTTGAGGTCAAGGCTGCAGTGAGGTGTGACTGCACTACTGCATTCCAGCCTGGGTGACAGAGTGAGACCCTGTCTCAAAAAAAAAAAAAAAAAAAACCTTCTGAAGGGATAGAAGGAAAGTTATAGGTTTGGGATCCAATCCTAGGCCATGTTTATTAGTATAGAATAGAGAGTATTTATGGCTGGGCGTGGCGGCTCACGCCTGTAATCCCAGCACTTCGGGAGTCCAAGGCAGGCAGATCGTGAGGTCAGGAGATTGAGACCTTCCTGGCCAACATGGTGAAACCCCGTCTCTACTAAAAATACAAAAATTAGCTGGGTCTGGTGGCGCGTGCCTGTAATCCCAGCTGCTCGGGAGGCTGAGGCAGAAGAATCACTTGAACCAGGGAATTGGAGGTTGCAGTGAGCTGAGATCGCGCCACTGTACTCCAGCCTGGCGACAGAGCGAGACTCCGTCTCAATAAATAAATAAATAATAGAGTATTTGTGCATTAGGGAATCCAGTAAGATGCCCAGATTGTAATTCTTGAGCAAGTTTCTGTTTTGGCAAATGTGCATCTGGAGTTTTATGAGAGGCCTAGTTTGCATGTAGCAGAAGTTTAAGATCACTAATGCTTATCAGTAACAGGCATTTGACAATATTTCATATGGTTTCCTAGTTAATACACATCATTTGTAAATTTTTAAAATTTAATTAACTGTTTATTTTTAGAGACAGGGTCCCACTCTGTTAGCCAGGCTGGAGTGCAGTGGTGTAATCACAGCTCACTGCAGTCTCAACCTCCTGGGCTCAAGCAATCCTCTTGCCTCAGCCTCCCTAGTAGCTGAGACTACAGGCACCCACCACTGTGCCCTGGCTAGTTTATTTATTTATTTTTTTGTAGAGATAGGGTCTCACTGTGTTGCTCAGGCTCAAATTATTTGTTTTTAACCCATGGATATTCAGTACTGCTGATCATTAATAGACAGATTATCAATCAAGGCAAATAAACAAGCATATTAACTTTGTAGAATATACACATTTCAACCTCTGAACCAAGAAGCTGATTCTGTTTTTTAAATTTGCATTAGATCATCATAAATGCATGCACGCCCCCCAGATAAACCGAGTACAGTGATAACTGTGGGCTCCTCAGCCAGTTGTAGGTCCCTGTGCACCAGTGCCATGTTACCATGCTATTGGGAATCATCTTCTGAAATACCTTCGCAGCTCAGGAATCTTGCTTCTTGCTAGGCGTGGTGGCTCACGCCTGTAATCCCAGCACTTTGGGAGGCCGAGGCGGGCAGATCATGAGGTCAGGAGATCGAGACTATCCTGGCCAACATGGTGAAACTCCATCTCTACTAAAAATACAAAAAATTAGCCGGGTGTGGTGGCAGGTGCCTGTAGTCCCAGCTACGTGGGAGGCTGAGGCAGGAGAATGGCGTGAACCCGGTAGCTTACAGTGAGCCGAGATCACGCCACTGCACTCCAGCCTGGGTGACAGAGCAAGACTGTCAGAAAAAAAAAAAAAAAAAGGAATCTTGCTTCTCCCTTTAGAACCTGGAAATGTGTCCCATCTCTGAAAATGCTCTGATTTTGCATTTGCAAGTCCTAGAAATTCTTGTCCTTCCTCTCTTTTTGTTCAGTACCTAAAATGCCTATACATTTTGTCAACTGGAGCTTTGAGCTAACATCCTAAATTTTAAGGGAGAACAAATATATATACATCATGTTTGAGGTTTGTCAAGGTTGTTGCCAAATGAATACCTCCCACGTTTAGCTTAATTACTCTGTAAGTTATATTTAGAATAACAATACTAACCTCTGCTACATAGTTCTGGGTAAAGTACAAAAGCACATTCGTATTCATTTTCTTATTTTCTTCACCAAAACCCAGTGGGGCATTCAGTATAAGCTCCATGCTGTCAGTGACAAGAAAACAAGTCCCAGAGGTTGATCTAAGCTATCTAAGTGACAAAGCTTGATTTCAGAGTCAGGTCAAATTTGAAAATTATTCTTTCCACCATACCTTGCTGTTTGCTCAAAAATAAACAAGAACCAAGAAATAAGAACATCTGAATTATTTTATTAAGGTCAAAGGGGGAAAAACCCACCAAACAAAGCAGTAATCCTTGATACCATGTTCACCATTATCATCTCATCAGGAACAGAACACTCAAAACGGCTCAGACGAGTAACATGAGAGTAGTCAGGCCGGGTGCAGTGGCTCACTCCTGTAATCCCAGCACTTCGGGAGGCTGAGAAAGGCGGATCACCTGAGGTCAGGAGTTTGAGACCAGCCTGGCCAACATGGTGAAACCCTGTCTCTACTAAAAATACAAAATTAGCTAGGTGTGGTGGCACATGCCTCTAATCCCAGCTACTTGGGAGGCTAAGGCAGGAGAATCACTTGAACCCAGGAGGCAGAATTTGCAATGAGCCAAGATGGTGCCCTTGCACTCCAGCCTGGGCAACGAGAGCAAAACTCTGTCTCAAAAAAAAAAAAAAAAAAAAAAATAGTAAGCAGAAAAATGGCAGTGAACTGTTTGTTCTGTAACCAGACATGACATCAACCCAGTTATGTTACCTGGCACCAATAAATATCCTGAATAAAACAGGAAGGACTGACAGCAGCTGGGGTAACCACTGACTTAATTTAGTTAACACTGTTTTAGAAGCTAATTAAGTAGACCAAGACTGGTGGCTCATACCTGTAATCCCAGCATTTGGGAGGCTTTGGGAGGCCGAGACGGACAGATCACTTGAGGCCAGGAGTTTGAGACCAGTGTGGCCAACATAACAAAACCCTGTCTCTACTAAAAATACAAAAAGTTAGCCAGGTGTGGTGATGCACACCTGTAATCCCAGCTACTCAGGAGGCTGAGGCAGGAAAGTCACTTGTACCCGGGTGGTGGAGGTTGCAGTGAGCCTCTGCACTTCAGCCTAGGCAATAGGGTGAGATTGTGTCCCCAAAAAATTCTTTAAAAAGAGTTGATTAAGTAGCTTATTTTGAGTTGTTTTGTTTACTAATCAATATAACTATTACAGGGATTATTTTCCCTATTTAACCTATTTAACGTTTCACAGAGGCTAGAAATCAACTTTGTCTTATGGTGAAATTGAAGGTAAATGGAGGGCAGATTGAAGTGTTCCATAAACTCACTCTGTTTGGTATTATTTCCAGGATATTTGGATGTTTCGAGCTCGACTTGTGAAAGGAGAAAGAATCAATCTTTGAAATAGCCATCTGCTATAACTCAACAGAAAACCAAAACCAAACAAAATGTCTAAGGAAAATGTTTTCTTAATGAGATGATGTAAGCTTTTCTATCACTTGTTAAAAGCAGAAAACATGTATCAGGTACTTAATTGCAGAGAGTTAGTTTTGCAGCGCAATGGTGTTGCTTTAATGGAAATAAAAAAAGTAAAAGTGAAGTATTACTGTTTTAAGAAAAACTAATTTAGGGTTGCAGCCAATAAAGGTGATTGGTGTATAATTTAAGTGTTAAATCAATTTCTTTCATTCAATTAGCTCTTTACCCAAGCAGAAGTGAATCATTTGGAGCTTAGAGTGTGTGTGTTTTGTATCCCCTTTCTGGTAAACCCATTCCCTACCAATTTTACGTCATAAGAGATTCCCCCCCCCCAAATCTAGAACAATGTATAATACATTCACATTAAGTGAAGGGCATAGGAAGGGTGTCATGGAGTCCAAATAAAGATGAATATTCCTGCTCAGACAAGGGCTTTCTTCTGTGATTTCTTCAACCCAACCATCCCCTTAACAAGGAGACTCGTTCTTTCCAGTCTTTTCCTCTGTTCTTAAAGAATGAAGACGAGGGCTGGGCGCAGTGGCTCATGCCTGTAATCCTAGCACTTTGGGAGGCCAAGGTGCGTGGATCACCTGAGGTCAGGAGTTCAAGACCAGCCTGGCCAACATGGCAAAACCCCCATCTCTACCAAAAATACAAAAAAAAAAAAAAAAAAAAATGGCCAAGCATGGTGGCATGTGCCTGTAATCCCAGCTACTCAGGAGGCTGAGGCAGAAGAATCACTTGAACCTGGGAGGCGGAGGTTGCAGTGAGCTGAGATCGCGCCACTGTACTCCAGCTTGGGCGACAGAGCAAGACACTGTCCCCCCCCCAAAAAAATAAAATAAATTAAAAATAAATAAATAAGTAAAAAGAATGAAGACAAGGGTGACTTCATTTGATGTATCTTATTGGGTAGGGCTGCTGGAAACCTTTCACATATGAATGAAGCCTAACGTCCTTCAAGCTATAGGGAAATTTTTAGACACTTTTGCTTGGATTTGGAGTGGGCATGGACTGAACAAATTTATTTCAAGACAGCACCATATTTTCGGTACCAGCTGAGGGCAGCAAGGAGACAGTCCTTATTTTTACAAATTTTAGTTAGGGCTTTAGTAAGAAAGAAATAACAGACAACCTTTCTCGTCATTTTGCTAAGCACAAGTTTTCCTAAATCTAGTGTTGCCGTGTGTGCTGTTTTCTTTGTGAGGACAGCCAATTTACGCTCAGCTCCCCCTGGGAACTGGAGAAGGCAGATCACTGACTGGCTCTAAGGAAATTAGATTATGGGATGATTGGAAATAAAATGTCATTAAGGAATGCCTGTGTAAACAACATGTGGGGAGCCCTGCTTTGTTATGGAATAAACTCTAAATTGTTTCAAATTTAAAGTAAATATGAAAAACGAAACTTCAGTAGGAATATTGAAGAGCAACTGGTTATTTCCCATGTGCATTTGTGAGTGAAAACCAACTGGCCCCCATCAGGACACATTCATTTCCCATCTGATCCATGTCCCTTTGGTCCGTTAGTGCATGTAAGAAATATCCAAGCACCCGCTCTTTTTTTTTTTTTTAATTTTTTTTGAGACACGGTCTTGCTCTGTCACCCAGGCTGGAGTGCTGTGGTGCGATCTCGGCTCACCGCAATCTCTGCCTCCCAGGTTCCAGTGATTCTCCCGCCTCAGCCTCCCGAGTAGCTGAGACTAAAGGTGTACGCCACCATACACAGCCAATTTTTATATTTTTAGCAGAGACAAGGTTTCACCATGTTGGCCAGGCTGGTCTGAAACTCCTGGCCTCAAGTGATCCACCCACCTCGGCCTCCCAAAATGTTGGGATTATAGTCGTGAGCCACCGCGCCTGGCTAAAATATCCAAGCACCTACTCTATGAAGTGGGACCAGATGCCAGGATGAGGTAGGGGGCCTCAGACTGTCCATGCGGACCTACCCTGTGAAAGGTGGGAGTCAGGGTTGGCTGGAAAATGAAGAGTTGGGGAAGGAATTCCACAGATTTCATCAGACTGAGGGGACGTGGGAGGGGATTCGTCCTGGGCTCATGTCCATTTCACCAGAGTCTCGTCTAAAAGGACTTTATGAGGTGCTCAAACAAATCACAAAACAAAACAAATCACAAGGATCCTCTTCTGTGAATTTTGAGACTAATAGCTTGGGAAAACTGGAGGCCTTTGCTCCTTGAGTGTGCTTGGAGCCTCCCCCTCCCCCACTCTTTTTTCTTTGTTTTTTTGGGGGGATTTTTGTTTGTTTTGTTTTGTTTTTTTGAGACAGAGTCTTGCTCTGCACCCAGGCTGGCGTGCAGTGATGCGATCTCGGCTCACTGCAACCTCCGCCTCCAGGGTTCAAGCGATTCTCCTGCCTCAGCCTCCTGAGTAGCTGAGACTACGGCGCCCACCATCACACCCAGCTAATTTTTTGTATTTTTAGTAGAGACGCGGTTTCACCATGTTAGCCAGGATGGTCTCAATCTCCTGACCTGATGATCCGCCTGCCTCGGCCTCCCAAAGTGCTGGGATTACAGGCGTGAGTCACTGCATCCGGCAAAATTTTTGTTTTTTTAGAGATGGAGTCTTACTTTTTGTGTAGGCTGGTCTCAAACTTTTGACCTCCAGCAATCCTCCCACCTCTGCCTCCCAAAGTACTGAGATTACAGCTGTGAGCCACCATGCCTGGCCTTATTTTTTACTATCTAATAGAAAAGTGGTATATATAATTATTATAATTTGCATTTATTTGATCATAATGAGATAGAGAATTTTTCATATCACTATGGGCGTTCTGTGACTGACTTGCTGAATGCTGGACTCTTAGGCCCAAGAGTATACCTTATGGTAGAAAAGCCAAAGAACAGATTTCAGCTAGCCATATATAGCTGGAATGTCTGGAGATATTTAGCTTATTTTTCCATCTCAGTCATTTCAAGCCTGAAGCCACCTGATGTCAAGTCTGAAGCCCATTGAAGGCCACTGTTAAGTGTCCTGGAAGGGAGGGGGAGAAAAAGCCAAGGGTTTGTACCTGATGATGTTCAAAATATGTAACAGAGAGACCACCAATCAGATACCATGAGTACAGGAATGTGGCACTTCAGTTGATAACAGCACCATCCTGCCTGGCTAATTTTATTTGTAGAGATGGGGTCTCGCTATGTTGCCCAGGCTGGCCTCAAACTTCTGGGCTCAAGCAATCCTCCTGCCTCAGCCTCCCAAAGTGCTGGGATTACAGGCATGAGCAGTCTACACGGTTTTTGCTTTTTTATTATTTTATTTTATTTTTATTATTTCCTTACTTTCTGGCACTATAAGGTGTGCCATGATTATCCTGTATCTTCCTGCCCTTTGTCCTATAATGAGCCATTTCTCCAAGGAGCCCTGGTTCTATTTATTGGAAACTGCTGGAAACCAAAATCTGGGCTTGAGGTGCACTCTCAATGTGCATTGTTACCAAGCTCGTATCGTGATTCTTAAAGCACTCCAAAACTGGCTATCCCCTGGCCCAGCATCTCTGGAAAGTCACAGTCATTCAGAGACAATAATGCTCTGACCTGGGAGGTTTATATTTACTCCGAGAGATTCCAGAGTCTTCCTTGGGCCTCTGAAGATTTCAGACTTACCTTCATTCTTCTTCAGGCTTGGCATTTCTTGGAACACGGTGTTTGTTGGGGAGGCGAAGAAGCAGGGCTTTTTACATTGATTTAATTTTGATTTGAACCACATGAAATTTACTACTCATTTAGAAGCTAAAATAAAATTTTAAATTAAAATAATGGACAGGAAGAAATTAGGAGTGATATGGGGGCTGGATACCCAGGAGGACAGGCCACGCTGTCTCCCAGCCTATTTGGGTATTTCTGCCCTCCGTCAGAAGACGCGACCGTTTTCCTGTCGAGAGCCAGGTAGTAAATATTTTCAGCTTTGCAGCTGGGCCGTCTCTGAGGCAGCTGCTCAACTCTGCCGTGGGGGCAGGAAGGCGGCCAGAGACAACATGTAATCCAACAAGTGTGGCTGGGACCCAATAAAGCTCTATTTACAAAAACAGGCGTCCCGCCAGATGGGGCTTGGAGGCGCTGGTTTGCCCACTGCACTCTAGATGAATGCACAAATTCAGGAAAGCCAACAAGTGCCTTTTCCCTTGGCAAGAGGCACCTTGCACCGCTGGAGCGATGCTTTGGGGGCCTCGCACCTCGCTGCTTCTGAGAGGCGGGCGGGAAGTGTCTGCTATCCTCCCCTCCGCCGCACAGAGAACAGAGCTTGCTTACCTGTGATACGCAGCTGTTCATTTTGTTTTCTTGATGTGGCCAGTGTTTAATCTAGATTAAGTTTAGGGCAACATGTTAAGCCCCACCAGATCTCTCTAGTGTAACTTGCAACCCACAAAGGACCTACTTTGGGGTGTGGTGGGAGATGTTGGTATTTTCAAGGATTCCATTTAAATGCACCTATCGGTAGCAGTCAGAATCTCGGTTGCAAACAACAGAAACTGCCCTTGACAGGGAGAAAGAGAAAACAGATGGTATCAGCAGGCTCTCTGGGGCTCAGGGACGTGCTATGTGTGGCACTGGGGGGCCAGGGCACAGCACAAAGGGGCAGGCTAGGCCAGTGGCTTTGGGGATGAGAGTGACCTCTACCCCCACCCCTGTCCCTGGGGCTCCTGATTTGGAGGCAAAGCACCGGGGACAGGCTCTTTCAGGCAGTGTGAGCCACGTGCTGCCTGCTGGTGGCGGCAGAGGTGGGGAGAGGGAATATGGGTGAGAATATGCCACCACCTCCCCCAAAATCACACGTCAGAGGAAACGAGATCGCCCCAAAGCAAGATCAGGTTACAAATAGGAAGAAGATAGCCCCAGATGCCATGTCCACCGCAACACAGGTGCACCGAGCATTAACCCACACACCAGAATTTCATAGTTTAGCTGCATGGAGAGGGCAAAATCAATTCTGAGAAGAAAGAAGGGAAGGGCTGTGATGAAGGTCACTGCACCAGGAGAAGGGAGTCTTCCCTGAGCAAACGTCCACTTCCCCAGTCCTTGCCTGTCGCCCTGTCTTGGTTCCTACATGACACAGACTCATCACCTGCTGTTAGGTCAAACTCTGGGACCCACCCGGTGGTGACCCATTGTTGA